CCCGCAGGACCACTGTGAGGGGGATGGGCATGTTGGAACCTGAACTCCCTGTGCACTGCTGAGTGCGTCCCCAGGACCCTCCGATGGTTAGTTTCCAACGGCAATTCCATTGTACCAGGGGAACTTGCTCTGGGAAATTCTGGATTCCAAAGCCCTGCTGGCCCAGAGCCTGGCTCTGCCCCCGCCCTGCCCTCCATGCCCGGGTGTGACCAGTCACTTCCTGTAGTCTCAGACCCTAGGGCAAGTTAAAGTCTAACTGATCCCCTTGAGGCTGGGGGGGAGTCCCCAGCAGTGTCTCCAGATGACCTGGGCTGTCCTTCCTCCTGCCCATGCCATTTAGTTTTCCCTACACCTGGCTGTCTGCAGCCCCTGCAGCCCCCCTGACCTGGAGCAGCGTCCATGGAGCAGGAGGGCCTGGTCTCAGAGTCCCTGCTCAGGAGAGCCACACCTTCGATCTCTTATCAAACGCATGCTGCCTGTGGCAAGCCAGCACCCCCCCCCCCACGTTGCTCCTGCTTTCCTAGGTGGCCTGGGTACCCCCCCGAGCGGGCTCCCTCTCTGGAACTGGTGTCCCCACCCCACTGCTGTCCTCACTGATAGCTGCCCTTCGGGACAGAGCAGCTCTGCCCTGTGGGTGTCAAAGGCTGGGACTGTAGGAGGGTCAGAGCTCAGTGTACCCCTACCAGGCCACCAGGGCTCTGGAGCTTCTCAGTGTGGGCCACGCAGCAGGCACCCCCCCACTACCTGGACCCCTTTTTGGTGGTCACAGAGAGCCCCCACATGGGTGGCCCCGTGGTTGGGGTATGACCCTTCCTCTCTCCTCCCAACCTCTCCAGTCTCGGGAGCCTGTTGGGCCCCTGTGGGAAACAGAAATGGCTGCTCACTCTTCTCTCAAAAAGCCAGCCAACCCCTGCCCCCATACAGCCAAGCTTTGGTGTGGGTACCCACACCTCCTGTCACGGCCACCATGGCTGCTGCTTTAGAAGAGGATGACCAGGTGCTTCTGGGAGGACTCTAACTGTCCACCTTTGTCACTGAGCAGGGACTCGGTCACTCCTGGGCACCATGCCACCCGGTGAGACGGCAGTGCACACCGCGGGGCTGCCCCTGTCCGTCCAGAGCAGATGCCGGGGCGGGCCAGCGAGCATACTGTGGGAGGCCCTTATGCCTGGGAGCCACTGGAACTGCCCCAGCAGAGTGGCCGAGGCTGGCGGTGGTACGAGGGGCATTGGCTGCCCTTCACCAGACCTGGTTGCCGTGCGCGACAGGAAGTGCCCGCAGGGTTGCCCAAACTGTCTTCACAGAAGCCAACTTCTTTTCCCCCCCGCGGATGACTAGGGGGCTGGGGCTGCCTGTGTTTCCCCGGTTGGCAGCTGAATCCGTAACCCCGTGCGCCACCAGGGATCCGTGTAAAGGGGTTGAGGGAATAAGGTTACAGAAAATAACCTTTATTCCTTTCTCTCGTGGTAATTCCATCCCACCCGAATCTAGCGTGTTCTCGCCCAGCACATAGTGGCCCTGGGCTGTGAGCTCGTCCCGCTCTCCTTGCGCTTTGCGGTCACGTGCCTTCCCGAGTTGACTCGCCGCCCCTCCCACCCCCTGCCCTGCTGACCTGCGCGGTGCCTGCAGGCCATGACGTTGATGGAGTACCTGATCAAGACGGGCTCGGAGCGCGTGTCGCAGCAGTGCAAGGAGAACATGTACGCCGTGCAGACGCTCAAGGACTTCCAGTACGTGGACCGCGACGGCAAGGACCAGGGCGTGAACGTGCGCGAGAAGGCCAAGCAGCTGGTGGCCCTGCTGCGCGACGAGGACCGGCTGCGGGAGGAGCGCGCACACGCGCTCAAGACCAAGGAGAAGCTGGCGCAGACGGCCACCGGTGAGCCAGAACCCCGCCGCCTCGGGCGCCCCTAAAGCCGGACTCTACGCCCCCAGCCCCACGCAGCGCAACACCGCTCTGGCGAGAGTCCGGGGGGGGGGGGGGCGCGTCTCAGGAATCTGCCAGCCTTGCTGTCCAGGACACAGGTGGGGCGGGAGGTAGCGCAGGGCCCGCTGCGGTGCACAGGCTTGTGGAGCGGATCCTAATGCCCTGTTGCCCTTTGGCCGGCCGGGGGCCGTGCTGACTGCCTGGCCGCCTGCATCTGACCGGCCGACTTCGAGATGGAGAAGGGAGCTTCCAGCCGGTGGACTCAAACCGCCAGCCTGTGAGCAGCCCGGCGCTTAACCTGCCGTACTGCCAGTGTGTCCCTAGGGACTGCGCTGCCCGCGTTCCCTTTAGGGGGCTTAAATGGCCAAGCTACGCCCTCATTGGTGGTGACGGACGTCAGTGTGGTGGATGGTGACCCGGAGGGAAGTCGGTGTAGTTGGAGGACCCCTAGGAGGTGGGGCTAGGCATGGCCACCCTAGATGCTCTCTGGAGGATGGCACTGTGGGAGACCCCACCCCACCTCTCCCTGGAAGTTTATCACAGGGGTGTTGGTCAGAGTGGAGCAGCAGGGGAGGGGTGTGGGGTAGAGAGGGCCTATCTTCAGAGGGCCAGCCTAGAGCTTTAACCACCCAGCCACCCCTGGAGCAGAGCCCCTCCCTGCAGACTCCCGTGAGGAGCATGACAGGACTTCAGGTGTCGCTGGGCGCCAGGCACCGTGCTGCTCACCCGCCTGGTCAAGGGACCTCTCAGAAGCAGGCCCACCCAGCTTCCTCCTGGGCCTCGGGGTGGGTTCACATCGCCAGCCCCACTCTCCCAGTTGTCGGATAGCCAGAGCAGCTCTTGAAAATGACCCCAACCGTGGGCTGGTTTCCTCTTGGGGAAGGCTGCAGGGCGGCCCACGTGGGCATGTTGGATCCTTCCCTAGGGCTGTGGGGCTGGGGTTTCAGAAGGGGATTGCCAGGCCTTGCCTCCGTGGTGCCCCTGCCCCTGCACCACCTTGTCCCTTGGTCTTCCAGGGTGGAAGTTGCCATGGGCGCCCCAAGCCCTGTGTGGAGTTTTCAGCAGCCATGTGTTGCTTCAGGGGTGGTGGCTGGATTTGGGCCGCCAGCCTGTGGCCAGAGGTGGAAGGAAGCCGCTCTCCCCACGTGTGTGGGTGCAGCCCTCAGCATGCTGGCCCTTGGTGTCTCAGGGGCAGCTCACCGAGCCGGGCTCTGCTGCTGTCCCTGTCCCTGTCCCTTGAGGCCTTGGCTGAGCACCCCAGGCTGTCCCTACAGCAGGGCCGGAGCCTTGATGGAGGAAGACCCGCCCCTACACACACATGCTGGAGGAGTTCTGGCTCCTGGGGTCCCCCTTCTCTCTGGGGCCCCACCCCTTCTTCCACCTTTCCCAGGGGACTTCAGAGCCGGGATTGGCCTTTTGAGGGGAGGGCCTGACTTGCGAGTGTGAGAGATCCTCAGCTGGACCCCCATAGAGACAGATGTCCTCCCCCCCCCGCCCGGTTTGGGGGTCCACTCCCCTGTGCCCTGATCTGTGCTCACTATCCCCCAGCTTCCTCAGCGGCTGTTGGCGCGGGCCCACCGGCGGAGGCCGAACAGGCCTGGCCACAGAGCAGCGGGGAGGAGGAGCTGCAGCTGCAGCTGGCCTTGGCCATGAGCAAGGAGGAGGCCGACCAGGTACGGGGGTGGGGGTTGTGGTGGGGGCTCTGTTCTCCATCCCATCTCCATACTCTCAACCCTCCTTGTCTCCATCCCCCACCCCCCAGCCTCATTACCTTAGTCTTGGAATTCCACTTCCTCTGTCTCTGGATGCCCCTCCACCTCCGACTGCCCTCCCATGCCCACGCTGCCACTCAACGCTCAGCCCTTTGCTCTGCTGTCCCCACCCCGTCCCACTTTGGCCTTCGGCCACCAGGACAGTTGCCCATTTCTCCATCCCTGCATTCTCAGTTGCAGAACACTGCGCAGGACATGGCTGCTTCCCGCCCCCTCCAGCTCTCTCTCTCCCTCTCTCCTCCCACCCCCCCAGGCACCCTCCCACTGGTCCCAATTTTTCAGCCTTTTCAGGCACTTGCTGTCTCTCCCTCCACCTGGGACTCTCTCTCTCTCCCCCCACTCTCCCCTGGCCCAGCCCTGCCCCTCACGGTCTCTCTCCCCCAGCCCCCGCCCTGCGGCCCAGAGGATGACGTCCAGCTCCAGCTGGCCCTTAGTTTGAGCCGGGAGGAGCACGACAAGGTCAGCGCAGCGCGGCCCCACCCCAGGGCCTCTGGGCTTCCCTCTGGGTCTGCGCACGCCCAGACAGATGCCTGGGCGCCACGCCACGCCTGCCCCCCAGCAGAGCAGCAGCCACCCCGACCTCCCAGTACTTCCCAGACCTCCCTGTGCCACCACCCCCC